ATGTAGTGAAAAGCATTGCAATGCTTTTCTGAAGAGTTTTAGGTCATTTTTCACACTTACAATAATAAACTATTCTGGAAAAAAGGAGTCTGCAAATGATCTGAAACTTTGCAGTGTCACAAGTTATTGGTCTAGGTCTGACCTACATCAAATGGAACATTAAATTAAATCTCTAAAAATTATTTCAAGTCCTGTCAATTTTTGTCAAAAAACCTCAGTGGAGTCCCTTAACATTACAGTGTAACTCTTAAAGCTACAATAATTAATTTATACAGTAATTTTCTGTAAACTGTTTTCCAGACCTTAAATTATGATTTTAGAAACCTTTAGACTTCTCCACTCCAAGAAAAATAATTCTGTGTCTAGTTTTCAATTTTTATTATTACCACAAAAAATTATTTCATAAAGAAAACCATGAAGATTTTTATTATTTTTGGGGGCAAGAGTGATTTTGTTGTGGTACATGCAAGACACAACATAATATTATCTTATTGTGCTTACATAATTATGTAAAGGAACTCCACTGAGGTCAAAAAAGCATAAACATAAAAACTTTGAATTCTATACATGTAAAAGATAATTTTAAAGAAATAATTATTCTCAAAATTAATTGAGAATTGTTATTTTTTTCATTCTTAGCCAGTTTATTAAGTTATTTAAGTGTCTTAATTCTTTTGAGTCTTTTGAGCAATAAAAATGATTTTTCTGGAAAAGCAGACTTAATTAGAGAATGAACTGAAATTTTGCATACAACATAATGTACAAGTTGTTGGTCCAGCCAGTCCCTCATCAAATGGTACATAAATCTCAAAAAAATATGTCAAAAAACCTTAGTGAAGTCCCTGTAAACAGTGAAAAAAAAATGTGAATTTGATTATCTTAAGTAAAATTGCCTCTGTTTCAAGGTTAAGAAGAAATTCTAGCAGATGTTTTAGCAGTATATTAAATTTAATAAATTGGTTTATCATATTTGATATCAATTAGATTTGCTGACACATGTCTAAGAAACCACTTTAATGAAGTTTAAGGCTACGTATTTCACTGATAATTAAAGGAGATAAAAATACATAATTTAGTGATTTTCTGCGTAATCTTTAAACTTTTAGCCATTTATTCTGGTCCTGTTTTACATTTTATCCCAAAAAATTGTATAGTGATAAGATTTATCTGTTAACCATCTGATAAGAAATAGATAATGCTAGCAGAAAATTCACAAATTATAATAGTTGATCTGTTAGGAAACTCAATTTTACCTACTGTTTATGAAAAAAAAATGAGCCACGTCACGACAACATAATGGGTTTGCGACCAGCATGGATCCAGACCAGTCTACGCATCCGCGCAGTCTGATCAGTATACCATGCTGATCAATATCAGTTTCTCCACTTGCTATAGGGTTTGTAAGAGAACAGCATGGATCCTCAGATCAGCCTGCGCGGATGCACAGGCTGGTCTGGAATCATGCTGGTCGCAAACCTATTATGTTGGTTTTGTCGTGACGCGGCTCAAATTTGAATGTCACAGTTATTTATAGGCATCATCATCGTATAAAACAACTACGGAAGCGTCCTGGTGCCAATTCATAATGTTCTATAAAAAAATAAACTCCTACGTAGGAGATAAAAAAGCCTAATTAGGTGTTTGTAACTCCTACGTAGGACTTTTAAACTCCTACGTAGGACTTTATAACTCCTACGTAGGACTTTTAAACTCCTACGTAGGACTTTTTAACTCCTACGTAGGACTTTATAACTCCTACGTAGGACTTTATGACTTTATAAGAAATTCATACAGAATGCTTTGCAACTCTCAACATTCCAGACCGGTATATCGGCGAAGGAACAAGACACTTACCCCCCCCCCCCTCAAATCTTAAATATAGAGGACATTTCACCTTTGGTTCATACAGAATTTATTTAAGTTTGATTGTGTATGAAGCTATAAGCTTATAGACACACTTTCGAATCCGTTCTTGGAACCAACCAGTACGTACTTAGCAATGAGTGTATTAAAAAGTTTCTTGCTCAAGGAAACAACGGCTTGCGCCTAACGGGGTTTGAACCCATGTGGCTAGCGATCATTAGGCTACTAGTCACACGGCCATGCCGCAACACTTCACCTTTTAATAAAGTGTCTCAGGTTTCTGTGGGGTAGTGACGTGTCTTGTTCCTGCTCCGTAAAGTTTAAGAAGATAACGGTTTGCGGAGCATTATGCATGCATGTGTTCACTTTATAACTCCTACGTAGGAGATAAAAAAGCCTAATTAGAAGTTTATAACTCCTACGTAGGACTTTTAAACTCCTACGTAGGACTTTATAACTCCTACGTAGGACTTTATAAGTCCTACGTAGGACTTTATAACTCCTACGTAGGAGATAAAAAAGCCTAATTAGGAGTTTGTAACTCCTACGTAGGACTTTTAAACTCCTACGTAGGACTTTGTAAGTCCTACGTAGGACTTTATAACTCCTACATAGGACTTTATAACTCCTACGTAGGAGATAAAAAAGCCTAATTAGGAGTTTATAACTCCTACGTAGGACTTTTAAACTCCTACGTAGGACTTTATAACTCCTACGTAGAATACATATCAAAGAACTGAAAGCACAGAGTTCGACGGACATGTATGCTAGAGTTTAACTTAAGATAGCATATTATGTAGGAAAATAAATTATATGAGCCGCGCCATGACAAAACCAACATAGTGCATTTGCGACCAGCACATATCCAGACCAGCCTGCGCATCCGCGCAGTCTAATCAGGATCCATGCTGTTCGCTTACAAACCCTATTACAAGTAGAGAAACTGATAGCGAATAGCATGGATCCTGATCCGACTGCGCGGATGCGCAGGCTGGTCTGGATCTATGCTGGTCGCAAACCCACTATGTTGGTTTTGTCATGGCGCGGCTCATATGTGTCAAGTTGTAATTATGGCAAGCCACTTTAGTAAATACCTTTAGTCTGTAGCCAGAGATGATTTTGTCATTCTCTGCATATATTAAACGATGATTCTGTATTATGTACGTTTAGATATATTTATTATACACATGTACACAAAATGTATGGGTTAAACTTTGTTCAAAGTAGGATATACAATGTAATTCATTACTAAACACATGCATGCATAATGCTCCGCAAACCGTTATCTTCTTAAACTTTACGGAGCAGGAACAAGACACGTCACTACCCCACAGAAACCTGAGACACTTTATTAAAAGGTGAAGTGTTGCGGCATGGCCGTGTGACTAGTAGCCTAATGATCGCTAGCCACATGGGTTCAAACCCCGTTAGGCGCAAGCCGTTGTTTCCTTGAGCAAGAAACTTTACACTCATTGCTAAGTACGTACTGGTTGGTTCCAAGAACGGATTCGAAAGTGTGTCTATAAGCTTATAGCTTCATACACAATCAAACTTAAATAAATTCTGTATGAACCAAAGGTGAAATGTCCTCTATATTTAAGATTTGGGGGGGGGGGGGGTAAGTGTCTTGTTCCTTCGCCGATATACCGGTCTGGAATGTTGAGAGTTGCAAAGCATTCTGTATGAATTTCTTATAAAGTCATAAAGTCCTACGTAGGAGTTATAAAGTCCTACGTAGGAGTTAAAAAGTCCTACGTAGGAGTTTAAAAGTCCTACGTAGGAGTTTAAAAGTCCTACGTAGGAGTTATAAAGTCCTACGTAGGAGTTTAAAAGTCCTACGTAGGAGTTATAAACTCCTAATTAGGCTTTTTTTATCTCCTACGTAGGAGTTATAAAGTCCTACGTAGGAGTTTAAAAGTCCTACGTAGGAGTTATAAACTCCTAATTAGGCTTTTTTATCTCCTACGTAGGAGTTATAAAGTCCTACGTAGGAGTTAAAAAGTCCTACGTAGGCCAGTTATAAAGTCCTACGTAGGAGTTATAAACTCCTAATTAGGCTTTTTTATCTCCTACGTAGGAGTTATAAAGTCCTACATAGGAGTTAAAAAGTCCTACGTAGGAGTTTAAAAGTTATACCTAGGAGTTATAAACTCCTAATTAGGCTTTTTTATCTCCTACGTAGGAGTTATAAAGTCCTACGTAGGACTTTGTAAGTCCTACGTAGGAGTTATAAAGTCCTACGTAGGAGTTTAAAAGTCCTACGTAGGAGTTACAAACTCCTAATTAGGCTTTTTTATCTCCTACGTAGGAGTTTATTTTTTTATAGAACATTATGAATTGGCACCAGGACGCTTCCGTAAACAACTACCAGTTAAGTGCATGGTTGAAGATAATTGCACCACTCAGATTCATTTTAAGGCTAATGCAATACATGAATATGACATAATATACATTAAGACCATACTATTTTCTTGCACAAATTTGACAAAAACATTATTTTGGCATTTAAATTCACCTGCATGGTTTATGGTTATTTTTTTTTTTGTTAAGTGCATAATGTTATAATGAAGATTTACATGTTATTGTATGTAATATTTTATTTAACCATTTTGTCATGCAGACCAAGATCAGCGGACACATCAGTACCATCTGTCGATCATCATGTCTGCACCATTCCCTATTAAGTCTGTACATAATTTATAATTTGAAAATTTCCCTAAAAATGATGTATGTGTTTTTGTCCAGATTGCAAGTTGACTTAAGTCTGTTCAATATACTTATAGTGATAATTAAGGATAATGATCAGAAATTCTTACTGCAATAAACATTTTTTCAAAAAGTTTTCACTCTGATTTGTACAGGTGTTTTCAGTATTAAGGCATTTGTTTTACTAATATCAAGAAAAGAATGATACACAAATAAGCAAATTCAAGACTTTTTTTTGTTCAGATGAAATCAAAAAATCTTGATAATCACTTGTAAACATGTACTTAAAGCCTTTTAAACACTTTTAAGATAACTGGAAAATGAGTATCTAAAATGAAACTTTCAGATTATTTTCTTTTATTTTTGAATGTAAATCTGAGATTAGTTTTGTAAGTTTGATAAATTAATATATTATTGATGTATATTTTCAGAGATAACACACTCACCTCCAACTGCAGACCAGCTGAAAAAAGGTAAGTAATCTAATTTAGGAGCCTCATTATTGCACACCCATCTCATGCAGAGTTTAAATGACTAATATACCCTAAAGCACCTGCAGTCTACTCCATAGTGATACAGTCCTAACCATTTTACCAAATGAAATCTTTTTGATGGAATATAAAGTCATATTAACATATTTCTGGTTAGAACAAAATCAAAGGAAATCAAATACACTTTATTTGATTTATAGTTTTTGTTCTAAAATTTTAACATACCAGTGTGACCTTTGGCATGTCTGTTAGTGGTAATTGACAATTAAGACATTTAAACTAAGCAACAAATTTAATGTAAAATTAATGTTTTTGCATAAAAACTGCACTGACCAATTTACATTAACAGAGGACAAAACCTGCATAAATGGATAAATTCTGGTAGCCACATGCCAATTTGCTTCATGTTTTTTAATATGCGTGACTCGGGGCGCAATATAAAAACAGCTTAATGCCATTTTAGCCCCAGTTGAGTAGTTACATTATTTAAACATAACTGTCAAATGAGTTCATGCTAAGCATTCGGAAAGCATCAAACAAGCAATTGGTTTCTTTAAACAAAATACAAATAATGAAACGCTGAATAACTGATTTGGATGCATGCAAAAACAAAATACAAATAATGAAACGCTGAATAACTGATTTGGATGCATGCAAGAATAGTGCTTTCATAATGCACCTTTCATCATGCATTAGGCCATTAACATTTGTAGAAGCCCTCAGACCTATTAAATCCCTTACCCTGCTGGCTCTGGCTTAAAATGAGTCCTCATGCATCTGCAGATATGTTAATGCACAAAGAAAGTTGCAGTAAATCCTCTATTGTTAACTTAAGGTTCTAGACTGAGGCATGCATTGACTAAATAATGTACATTGTAGTTGATGTCCTTCAGCATCATCATAATGTTGACCACTATTTATATTCAGCAAAGTCTTGTTTATGAGAATAATGGCTGAAGTTTTTCTTTTCAGAAAGAATTTGTTGTCTGAATTCATTTTTGTGCTCCCTGAAATTTTATTTTGATGGCCGTAACATACAGAGTCCAATGATAAAATCAGAGATTTGGTATGTTGGCACCTGCAATGGTACCTGATTGACAATATGTGGACCTCTGCTTTTGGATGTTTTATCAGGTCAAATAGGTGGCAGCTAAGGTCACTGATGCTAAATAAAGATGTTCTTACTTGTCACTGATACTCAGACAGCCATGTTTTTAGCTTTATATAATTTTACACTTTGTTATAGGGTTTTAAATTCCAAAATGCTGTGACTTCAGTTACTGTGGTTATGTAATTCTTAATTCATTTATCTAATAGAACTTGGCTTTTATTGCATCATATCTCTTGCAATTTCCTGAAACATTTGTTGTTACTAGGCAACACAATTTTGTCCTGACAGATTATAACAGTAATTTTATTTGGCTTTCTAGTTATTTGATTTTTGCTGATATCTTTAATCATTTTTAGGCCCACTCCAGTGTTAACTCCAATTCAGTCCATTAAGTTATTTCCACAGATTGGATTCAGTGATGAAATAAGTGGTAATGTTTCTATTGAAAACATGTATAGCTAATTCTAATGATATAAAAGTAATTAACAATTATTGTCAGGCCAGTTCTAAATATTTTTTAAAAAAGTATAGACCAATCTGAAAATTGTATATGTTATCTAGAAATTTATTTGATCTTCTTAGAAGTGTTCTAGGAAAGAGTATAATTGAGCTAAGCATAATTTTAAACAGAATTTATGGAGAAAATGTCTGTGCTAAAATTATTTGCTAAGCTTTCTTCTTTGCTCTTTTGTCTTATAGAAATATATCAATTTAAACTCAAAGCAAAACATGATTTAAACATATTTTACTGCCAAAAAAAATGAAAGTTTGTTAACAGATACCATGTAAAGACAGTAACAATACAATGGTAAAACATATTTGGCAAAAGGGTTGACCCACAATTTTTTTCAACATAAGCAATACCATGCCTTAAAAGCAAAACTAATGACACAGACATGTATAATACTAAGTTAAATTGTGAAAGTATCAATATGTTAAAGTTACAGCTCACAATGACTGTAATGCAGGTTGACTATCTGGAGTTTCTCAGAGTCAATGTTAATTTTGTTACCCTAAGACTCCATATTCAAGACAATTTCCAAAAAAGATGATTTCCTAGGTCAGTTTTGCAAGACCACACACAATCTGATCTGGAAAAGAAAAAAGAAGACCCAAATCTTATGAATGATAATGTTTTGTCAGTCTTTCTTTAACTGTTGTGTGAATTATCCCCTTGTATAATAAACTTGCAAGACCATCACCATACCTTTTAATTTTCAGCATTGCACCTATATTTAATTGAGACAATTCATAGGTCTCACATCTATGCCTTTATGTTGATATAATTGCATGCCATCCATGGAATACAAGACAATATCTTAGAAGTTTATCTGAATTAAAGCTGCTAAATAATTTCTTAATTTTTAAAATGCTAATGTCCCCTGAATGTTGTAAAGTTTAAGATATCTGTCTGATTATAATTTGCCTCCTTATAAATGTACAGATTGAGACTGCAATAGCCTTGTAGCAGAAATGTTAGTGTAATAAATTTCATATTTAGTCTGGTGGAAAATCTTTTTATATCTCCATAAGGATTACAAGTGGTTTCGTACTCCCCAGGCAGAAATGTTTTAGGTCTGTCATGTATATCACAATTTTGTAGGGTTTAGTGCTGTTTTGTTTGAGATGAGATCTTATTTAATAATGCGCAATAATGTAATTGTCAGACCGACCTCCCACTTCTGTGACAGTGTAGAGGAGAGCACGGAATTTTCAGAGCTTAAATGTTTTTTAGACTTCTTTTGTTTTTGCAATGGCATGGAAGTGAGTGCCAAAAATAGTAAATGATCTGTCCAGATTGCAGTGCAGGGATATCAAGCATGCAGGCAGACTTTACCATCTTTTATCACAGTTCTTTAAATTGAGGTCTTTACCTTGGGGAATTGGAAATTCAAAATTCAAATTCCTGTTTGTCATTTAACTGATATATACAATAACTGTTACATTGTATGTGCAAATCATGATGTCCATTGGAGCTCACAAGTCATTTATTTAACTAGTACACCTACAATAGAAATCTCCGTCCTTTTCGGTTACAGTGGTTATGATATGAATTATATTTCTTGAGAGATATCAAGAATTTATTTTTTGAAAAAGGATTGCTATATCATAATACTCTATAAAATAATTCTATGAAACTATATATTTATTATCTGCAGAAAGTTTTAGTTTTCAATTAATCAGTTAAATTGTGAACAAGAATTGTTGTTATCTTACATTACATTGAAATGTATCATATTGTATTATAATTAGAGTACAGAAATTTAATATCTGGAAATTATAAAGTGAAAACATGATATTAATTGTTAAGATTTATTTTCCATATTAGCTTACATAACTGTACAGTACATTCTAAGCATTTAACCAATTATAGTAAAATTGATAACATATCACTTACTGTTTTTGTCAATTAAATTTTTGCTGTAAGGCAATTTTTTTTAAGCCAAACTTGAGAACAATTGCTATGTACTGACTTTTATGCTATAAAATGCATTATCCCCCCCCCCCAAATAAAAAAGAGAAAAAGCAAGAAAAAAGAGAAAAAAAAAGGTGTCACACCTGTTAATTAACTGAGGCAATAAGTACAGCTTGTACCTGCTGTCCAAAATTTATTTGACAAATTAAATCTTTATCTTTTACTGTTTTAATTTTACTTCTAGATATAAATTTCATCATGAATATATCATGCTGTAATGCTTTATCTATTGATACAACTGATTAGGCTATATACCTATGGTGGGCCAATTTCAAATTATCATCTTGATATCCCCAAAATTGATAATGCACTGTTTCAAAAATTGAAGCTGGCCATTTAAAAAATTTATTGGCATAAGGGTTAAATTATTCTTATGTTTCTTTATTATTTTTTTTTCAGTTTGTCTTCACAATGCTCTACCATTTATTGGGTTTGGTTTCCTGGATAACTTTCTGATGATTTTAGCAGTAAGTAATTTATATTCCATCACAATCTCTACAATAATTGACATATGCTTTAGTCTCACCGGCATTTTCTGATAATTTCAGCAATTTATCATGTTTTGTAAGCACAGCATGATTCCTTCATTATTAATGACAAAAAGTAATTTTCTCTGAAGATGTTTATAAGGATTTTTCCCCTGATTACCATTTTATGGGAAAGATACAAATTTATTTAAAGATAATGTTCTGTGCAAAATTTCCATAAGGAGTGAAAAGGCATTATCTGCTGTATAAGATATGTTTTTAGACTTATTATGCTTTTTGTTTAGGATTATAAGAAATGAAATAGTGGATGCACAGTAGTTGGTAACACTGTCTGACTGAAACCCATCGCCTTAGATGCATGTTTAGTTCTCTCTTACTACTCTATTAAAGTTTTGTTAACATTCTTTGGGATGACACCTTCTTTTTATCTGTGAGCAGTGCATAGTCATGTTAAAGAACTCTGGTTGTAACTTTTGGAACAGTTGATTTTCAGTTTGATCCCTCTTTGTGATACAAACTTGCTCCATATCATTGAGCTTCCAGATATTTAATAAAACACACATTTCTGAATTTGGCATTCTTTTAAGCCAGCAATTCCAAGGTAATTGATTTTATATATCAAAGTCTGGAAGCGCACAAAGGTTAAATTTAAGTTTTGGCCCTCAGTGTAATTATTCCACATTGTCTTAGAAGTGATGAAAATCTGCTAATTCTCTTTTTCTGACTCATAATTCCACCTTTTTCTCGGCATAATTATGAAAAAGATGTTTACTAAAATCACTTTTTTGAAAATCTTTGAATGTCCACATAATTTCCTCATTTTTTCGATAGAGTGCAGAAATCTTAGCAATTGTTGACAGAAGTCTCATAAAAAGTAATATGTTATTTTGTATATTTCAGCTCATTAGAGCTCATATTAGAGCTGTGCCCCTGAGTATGTCAATCTAAATATATTTCCTAACACATAATTAGGGGATTGCTCTTCAAGTACGCATACACTTTTAAAATCTTATTTTTATAATTAATATAAAAGTCATGTAATACATGTAATATTGAATTATTTACTCATCCCAAATATTGTTACAATACTGATCGATACAAATTTCTTCCATTGTGACAAATCTGCAAATGGTATGTTAAGATGACGGTCCTTAGAATATTCTAAGGAAGCCTCTTAAAATGTTGAAAATAAATGCATTTGTGACAGCAACATTACGTGCTCTCTTAGAGGATTATGTTTGAAATGTATTTATATACACTGAATGCTAATCTAGCTGTTAACTTGAAACACCAAATATCACATTTCAGATCTGGTGACTGATGTGGGTTTCTTTTTTGTTTCAAGATATATGATAATTGGGATAGAACAGGAAAATTAAGCGGCTTAAAATTGATGGTTGTCATGGTAACCAGAAAAAGAGATGTGATTTTTGTATAAGTGTTAATTAGTAAGGTAATACTGAATGAATTTTGTCATGTTAAATATATAATAAGAAAATCAGAAATAATGCCTTTGAGGAAGATGTCTTTATATGTCTTAAATTACAATTTAAAGGAGCTCCACTGAGGTAAAAAAAAACACACTAAAATACTACATTGTACACAAATCTAGTGAGAGACTTAAAATAGAAAAATCTGCAAAGAATAAATAAGAAATATTACTCAGAAATAAATTGATTATCATTTTTTGTGCAACTAAAATATAGCCTGATTTTAGTGAAATTTTTGTTACGATTGTAATTAAATTATTTTTGGTCAGTTACACACAAAAAAAAAGATTATTCTGGAAAAACAGCGAGAGATAATGATCTGAAAAATTGCACACAAGTTATCTGTCCACAATTGAATCAATTGGTCCACAAATCTCGGAAAAGTATTTCCATCCCCATCATGGCAAAAAAACTGCGGTGGAGTCCCTTTAAAACTCAGAAGACTCAGAAAGCCAGAAACATGTAGACACTGCTGCAACAGTAGATAGGATAAAAAATTGTCTTAACATGAGACATAATCCACTATAATGATGTTAGTTAATGGTAAAGCAACAGTGTGACAAGAACTTTTTTTCCTGCTACCTTACGGCAGACTCCAATCATCAAAGGCAACTTTGTCTCTGAAATGCCAGAAGACAGTCACCTAAATTAGATTCTCTCTGTTTTTAATATCCTTTCGCAGTAGTGCGGGCTTAAGTCAAGGGTAATTTCCCTGATTGATTTTCGTCTTAAGACTTCAATTAGGAGGCAGATTGTAATACTCATTGTTGTACTGTCTCAGGGCATTAAGTTAATACAACTTTTGATTGTACATTGTCAGGTGCCTGATTTACCATGGCAGGAAAGGATTATCATGTAGCAGGGGAAAAAATGAGATTTATACAAAATAATTATTGCTCATTTTTTGTGAATAAATTCAGTTTCTTTTCCTTTTCCATCTTTAACGGACTTGTCCATCATCAAATCTGAACCATATATTATTTTCATAGAAAATTTTAAAATATGTACTGACTCAGAAAAGCAAACAGTGCAATTTGACATATATAATAATCAGATGACAGGGGCATGCCGACATTAAATGATCTGGCTGTATTTAAGGGTTAAGGATTGTAAAGCTTATAAAAATAGTTAATAAATACAATGAATAATTATACAATATATTGTAAATATTAACATTTTGTAAAATTGTATTGTGAATCACATTGTTTATAGATATATAATTCTTACAGTTTACTGGTGTTGGACCACCGGACAACCACCTGACCCGGACGGCCCCAAAAATGCCCCATTTAGTTTAATTTTTCTTTGTTCAGTGGTTATCAATATATCAGTCATATTTTAATCAACAATAAATGCATATTTTTTCTATAATTAAGTCATTAAATTTATTTCAATTGATCTAAACAGTTATATTTTAAAGTCAGAGTATTTCAAGAATGTTGACGTTGAAAATTTGGCTGCAAGAGTGATTTAACCTGACCTCGATCTTTCACTAGCTATAATCATTTGCAGAGTAAATGATAGGATATCCAAAAAACTTTAAGCATTTGCTGCTGAAATATTGTATATCATGTTAAAAATAAAAAATATTAAACACCCATTGGCTTTTATCTGAATTAAATCTGCATCATAGCTTATCTGTCTGGACACATTGTACTGTAGTAAATTTAGACAATTTAGGTAATTTTGATACCCTCCTTGATGTGCCTCAGATATAAGTGTCAACATAATCAGAAATAAGCTAACTAGTTCCGTTAGTAAGAACCTAGCTGTACCTTGTCAAATTTTCAGATCTCTAGCTTTAAAGTAAAGTATGAAATCTGCATGGAAAAATGATCAAAAAGTGTCTGATTGTCGATAATGTTGGTCCCTGACCAGTAATGATTTCCAGATATTAGTTTTGACAGAAAATATATATTTTAATTTTTACTTTTAGGCACATGAATAACATATGAAAACCAACTTATAAAGGTTACCCCAAAAAAATATGTTGTTACCATAACAATGATTTTGTGTATTCGCCATCAGTCAAATATTGCTATTGAATATTTTCCAAAATAATCTAAATGCCTGAATCAAGTCTGTCTGGAATTTAATAATTTTCTCATTTTTATGGAAATGATCAAATTATGTGAAAGAATGATTTCAAATTGTTCAATAATGTTGAATGAAATTATTTTTAGGGAAAATTTCAAAATGTGAACTGACTTTAAATGACATTTTGCTCAAATTTGGTACAATGTATATAGCAAGCTTATATGAAGCCTTGGTTTGGATTGCTGTTGAAGTTTTTCATAGTAAGATCTAAAATTGAACACAATTATGACAAAATGCCAAGTTATTTTGATTTTTACCTGTTCACCTACCTTTTACCAATGGATGGACATTATATAAATGTTTTTTTAATTAGCAAACAGTGCAGACCGTGAACCACACAAAATGCTGACCTTGGTCTGCACTCAGGTCACGTGAGTTACTAAGAATCAGTTGTCACCCAGGCAGCTAGGCTTAGGGTTTAAGATTTAGATGCTAAAATAAATGCATAAAATCTGTAATACTGCTGTCATCAACAATGTAGGAGTAATTTGAGGATACATGAATTCATAATTTACAACCCTTCAAAATTGCCAATCTGTCACACTGCAGATTGTTTAATAAATACTGTGATAAATGCTCGGTCTTTGAAGATGAAGATTCTATGAATTTATAATCATTTGACAATTCCAATCTGTGCTAGAAACCATATTGTCAAATAAAAGATCAGAGGCTTTTGTATAAATTAGATATTTTCCAAAATGGATTTGCATATACATTGTATATAAAAGAACACAGTCATCATCTTACATGTAGTATCTAATATTTTACTTTATTCTTGTAGAATGAAACAACATTTTATGATGTTTTTTATAATATTAACTGGCTGCAACCTTAAACAATTTCTGGCAGCTGTTTAAAGATTCTACCTTAATTATTACCTGAGTGAAGACCAAAATGAGCCAGCATGTACAATGTTGTATCAACTGTCTGGCATCATGGTCTACACAATCATGTTCTTACTATTCAATTACTACATATTTGGAAACTTTCTTTCGATATTATGAATGATTTTGTCCAGGTTGACAGATGGACAGGTTCATTTAAGATATGCAAGCATAGAATTTCAAAGGGTTAAGACGAATAAGTATTCAAAATGAAAGATGGACAAGTCTGTTAAAGATATTTAGTGTGTGGTAAGGGTTAGTGATTATATAAGACTTGACAGTTGACTTTTACAAGCTCACAATTAAGGACACTTCATGTGTAACATATAAAAGAAAAGATGAACTTTTGACAAAAATGAACTTCTCAGGTACACATTTAATATTTGCTCCCTTAAATTTGCCAGGTCACATTCTAATCTTCAAATGTAAATGACATTGAATTAATATATTATAATTATGCATCTATAAAGTTGAACTTTTAAAGGCACATTATATATGCCTCAGAAATTCATATTTTTTTAATTTCTTTAGAAATGTCAACCATGTGTTAAATAATGTCTTAGTAATTGATTAAGAGCATACATGTTTAACAATTGGAGAAAATAGCACTGAAGGTGCAATAATGTGTTGTTAATGTAGCAAAATGTAAACAAAGAAGTATTTTAACTTCCATACAAAATACTTATTTTACTAAAATTATACCATTAGCCAAGAGAGCAAAAGATAGTTCATGTATATATGGAACATAAGTATTTTTGTGAAAACTTTTACAAGATACCAATATAATAAAGATTTTTTGAGTAATAAGGTTGATGGCATTAATGAGTAATGGGCCTTTAATCTGAACATCATAAAAGGATAAAAGTACATGATTACACACCATTATAATTAATTACCTCCCTTTATAAATAATTAAGAGCATTCGCTTTTATCAAAATCATTATTTTGTTCCATAAGATAAAAATTAGAAGACAAGCAAACTTTGTAGTTCCCAGAGGAAGCAGCCTTTTATGATATGATGATGGTAATGATTTGTTCAGGGAATGAATGGGAACCGTGTATTGATTAGTGACAGGGTTGTTGTTTGTTGAAACATATGTTGCATAATAATTATGCGGGCTGCTTGTGTTCACATACCTAAATAAGTTAAGGATTTTTGTCACTGTTTTATATATTAAGAAGAAATACACTAGATGATGTGAGATTATTTAGTCATTTAGTCATTCACACTCTTTATAATATATAGAGGATATTTGTTTGTTTGTGTGTAAGATGAAATTTTATTTCATCGAGTGGGCTTTAAAAACAGTATTCTCACGAGTGGCGAAGCCACGAGTGAGAATACTGTTTTTAAAGTTCACGAGATGAAATAAAATTACATCTTACACAACAAACAGACAAATTTTCTTTTTATTTTATGCTTAAAAACAAGTTAAAACGAAATTTCCATAATTTTAACGTTAATATTAAAACTGTTTCCCCCATTGAGAGCCCCATTTATTCGGAATTTCTCATTAAAAAAAAAAGGAAGTCTTGAGCTGAAAAATAAGTCCGCCAATCAACATTAAATGACGGTGATATTTATTAATTTTATTAAAAAAATATGAATGATCGCTTGTTTTGATAATAAAAACAAACAATTCTTGTAGCAGAAAAGGTCCAACCATCCATCCATATTTCTTCTTCTTCTTCTTCTTCCAATATACTGGCCACCTTCAACTAACTGAAGTTTACTGCCAGGTTAATGCGCAAGACGGAAAGAAAGAGTAAAAATAGTGAGAAATATATACAGTGCAGGTTAAAAACGGACAAGAGTGTGGTTTAGATATAGAGTTGGGACAGATGAGTACGGAATGACTCAACTGTACCGGCTGACGTAGTGTCTGGAGGTAGGCTATTCCAGTCTTTGATGGTACGTGGGAAGAAAGATTGTTGACGGTATTGTGTACGGCAGTAGGGTATCTTGAAGGTTAGGTTGTGTGAATTTCTTGTAGATGTGGAATTGGATGGTATGAGTTGTGAATTGTCTAGAGCGACCTTGTTGTTGATGACTTTGTAGAGCATGATCAGTCTGGCCTCCTTTCGACGTTCTTGTTACTTAGTGCGAATTTATATTAGACCTGGCTTTGTAAATTGTAAGCGGCAGCCATTTTTTAAAGTTGTGTATTTCATGGGAGGAAAATAATTGTGTAAGATTCAGAGGGATATAATTTGGATTTGTTAGTCATACACATTTTTAAAAGAAAGAAAACTTATTTGAGGATTGTAACAGACAAAAAATAAGTGTTGACAGATGTGAAAACATTCAGAAAAGGAGCTAGGAAAATGGAAAACTTGGAAACCTGCTCAAGAACGCTGGGTTGATTTAACTTATTCTTCGAGTTATGGCTGTCAATGCTTTCAATTTTTCATAAAGCATACGGCAGTTATTGCTCGTAGGATACTTTAATATGCCCAAATGTCATCAAGAGCAGTTTTGCATGGGGAAGGAATGTATTTTTGAGACTGTCAAAATGAAACAAAAAAAACGAAATTTGGTGATTGGAATTTCATGAATTTGAATGAATAGAAGTAAGTTTTCTTCTTTTTATTACTTTTGACATTTAAGTTATTTATCAATTTCAGTTTTGCTTTTTCTTTAAACAGCCTGACATTGTCAGAATTGTCAGCAAAAATAAAATTGAGGTACCACATGGGGAAAATCTTAAAAAAGTAGTTTCGTCATTGAAAAGAGTGAAATTATATTTTGATAATTTTCACTGTGAAATTACCAAATATAATTTTCACGGATAAATCAGTAATCCACTGAAAAGCATAAAATAAAAAGAATATATTGAATGCAGTTTAAGTGTTATATTTCAATCAGGGTAACTCACAGTCTATGGTACATATGCCAACACTTAAATTGAATTTTAACCCTTTACCACATATATACGCGAAACAACGCACTTTCGACCCCCCCCCCCTTTTGGGGCCTCAAATAGTGAAAAAATGTCCTATTTGGGCCCTAAACATAAGTTTTCGTTTGAGAAATGTTGCTAAAAAAATTGAGCACTTTTTCGGCGCCGCCCCCCATCCAAAAGATACATCAGAGGGTTGCCAGAAGGGGGATGTGCCCCCTTCTGTTAGGGGGGTTTGAAGGGGGGCGGAGTCCCCCTCATCGCCAAGAAAATTTTGGACTTGTGAGAGGCTAAAAATGGCCCCAGGTCGATCATAATGTAACGTTTAACCAACGCTGAAAAGCCTTTGACTCTATCTCAATCCCTTGAGAAGTTGCAGCACTTTAAAATAAATTTTGATGGAAAAAATCGAGGCAAAATAGTGATTTTTGGCAATTTTGAGATGTCCCCTCGTTGCCATGGTAACAGGAAATTTAAGACTGAGCATGTCGTTACAAAGGCAATGGTCCAGTCAACATTTGTGCCAAGTTTGATTAGTATTGAAGCATTTTTCATAGTTTCATAGCAGTTTGAACTTGTAACAGGAGGCTTTTCAGTGAAAACGGCCATTTTTCACAATATGCTCATGGGGGAAAGGGTTAAAGCAGATGTAATACCATCAACTTTACATTTATTACATCTTTGTACTAAAGATAGTGCCAACAACTAAAAATTTATTTGCCACTATAATGTGAATTTTGTCATAATTATTTAACAGTTTCAGATTTCTTTTTAACATTCAGGTCATTTTATTTAGGTTCATGTGTGAAACAACAGTTCAGTAATGTGATAGAATTTTTGTTATATAAACGAAAAGTAATTTAAGAGTGTAAGTTTTGGCATATATATAAGTCGAGACCTGTCAACATTACAAACCATTCCTTAATTAAGGAGTGTTAAATATGTCATAATGAAATTGGAAGACTGATGCTGTGAAACCGTTAGATTCTCCATGCCGGATCCAATTACATAAGTGCTTCTGAAAGCAAATACACTGTCATAGATTCATATCAAATTGTATGTTCAATCCCAAATTCTATGGTATTATAAAGTAATCATTTAAGTAAATGATGCAGTTCTAAAACAGTGATTCTAATAGATGTTATTATAAGTATTATGGATTTATCCAAGCAAATGAGTAATACCTGGAACAAACTTTTACCATTATAGCTTGACAGTGTACAATAGAATAATCAACCTTTTTGCTCTAATATTTTCAAAGTTGAAATTTTAAATGTTTGATTGTAACCCCTGTATTAGCTGAGAAAACTCCAAAATATTTGTAAGTCTCGAGTAAGAATTATTATTTTGGTAGAATACCATCTTTATTAAAAATGAAATAATTCATATTATTTGTTTTACAGGGAGAATACATTGAGTTTAAATTTGGTGCTATGTTTGGAATCTCTACAATGGCAGGTAACTATATAGACTGAGATACACAATAAAAGTTATTTCTTACCAAAACTTTGCATTGGGTTTATTAAGTTTTGAATTTCAGTAACCAGTCTGATTAGCTTTTACACATTTGATTGGCTACATGGGATTTAAAAATTTGAAATAAACCAATCACATGACAATTTTAGTCTTTTTCCAGACAGGCATTATTAGTTCAATTTTTGAAGTGCCAAAATGAATAAAGTTGAAAGAATTTTTTAGGTATAATATATAATTTATCTTAACTATAATATAATTTGTCTAAATATGAAAACAATTCTGCATTTTTATAAGTCTTTTGTGGTTTTGTTTTTGTTTCATTTTTTCTTTCATGTAATTATGATCTATAAATAGATCATTGAGATAAAGTATTTCTATACTTTTAGCAGCAAATAATTACTTAAGTATAGTCTGTGCCATTAGTTTATAAGTTTTAAGCCAGCAGAGTGCTTGCACATAATACAGACTATATTACTGTCAGCTGCTCAGTTTTGATTGATTGAATGTTGAAATTATCCAGACTAATTGACATTTCCCAAATATAAAGTGACAGACAATACCATTTAGACAATATCATCAAGGCTAACTAATAAAGCTATCTATATTTTCAGGGTTATTTCAGTTACCTTTTACTGTAGACATAGCAAATTTCAGAAATTTTGTTTAGATTTAAATTATTTAAGTGTTCCCACTCCAACTCAATAATTATATTAACTTTTGTGGGCTATTTAACTTAACCTTAACTAAAGGAATAACAACTTTTTAGAGTATTTTTGTATATATTTGAGCTGCATCACGACAAACCAACATAGTGCGTTTGCGACCAGCATGGATCCAGACCAGCCTGCGCATCCGCACAGTCTGATCAGGATCCATGCTGTTCGCTATCAGTTTCTGTACTTGTTATAGGGTTTGTAAGCGAACAGCATGGATCCTGATCAGACTGCGTGGATGCGCAGGCTGGTCTGGATCCATGCTGGTCGCAAACCCATTATGTTGGTTTTGTCGTGGCGCGGCTCATTTCATTTTAAATACATATGTATCATCCATTCATACTCTTTGATCATTTATTGGCTAATAAAGTTAAACAGACAAAAAGCAGAGAAGAAGACTCCTACATAGTTCATCAAGAATTATGCTAGTTCAGGTCAAGAAAGTTCCCCCATATTTAAAACTTAAGGGTTCTACCTGTAATGAAGTGTTGAAGGAAGCTTTAGACTTTATGTTTCCTTATATGACACAAGTAGCTGGTGTATTTAAGTTCCAGGAAACTTGAGATATAGAAGTTGCAAAAAACTTTTCTTAACATCACAAGCATAATGATAAATATGACTTTGTATTGTTTTATCTAAATGATATAGTATAAATATTATTGATGTAGCATAATAAAATATTTATATATATTTATAAACAACAATTTTATAACAATAATTATTGATCAGTTTTATGTATTATCATTATATTAAACATGTATTTTATGTTTATTTCAGCTGCTGCCCTGGGGAACTGGATCTCAGATTTAGCTGGAGTACAGTAAGCTACTAATATTGTTATTATATCACTTTTCTCTCCAATCTTTGTTAAGATCCCTATAAGTTATCAGGAAGAAGGCCATTAAAAGTTTAGCTACTCATTAGATTCATACTCAGATGCCATCTTATACCTAAAGTAAATGCACAATAGGGCATATTAGTCTTCTTGTACTACTAGGTCTTGCACCAATGAAGGCTAAGTCTTAGAAAGTCTCCATATGACATTGTCTGTGTTGGTATGACTTAAGACCCAAGTAACAAATTGAAATTCAAAGAAAAAGTTCAACAGGAGAATGCCATTTTCCTCACAATTGTTTCTTAGAATAAGAAAATTAAAAAGTCAACCAAAAAGTACAGACAGGAATAAAAAAAACACACACACACACACACACACATTTTACAATACGATTTATTTGTTTTAAAAAAGTCATTTTATAAGTTACTGACTATAAACTTTTTAATTATGAAATAAAAAGAAGTTTTTTTACTAAATTACTAACATTATACACAATTTAGATACAATGTATTTATTTTATTCTTTATTATAGTCTCATCAATGTGATACCGTATATACAACATATCATAAATAAAAAGCATATATAATAAAAAGGCACATTATTAATGTCCCTCTCTACAGAGGTATAGGAGACTTTGTATATGTTAATATCATAATACCAGTAAAATCATTATTGCATAATGGAGTATTAAAATTCACACTTTATCTAGATCTTGAGTAGAGTACATGTATAATATAGCCATCTGGACATTCATGATTGTATATAGAGTATGCCCTACTCATGTTCTAGATAAGTTTAAGTAAGAACATGGATATATAGGATGTAATTTAGTGTATGATTACACAGGATGTGATGAGTGAGAACATGCATATATACATGTACATGTAATATGAAATATTAAGCAGTTATTATACACAGATATGGATATACATCTATAGCAAATGTTTAGTTTTTACAATTTATAAATTAAAGAGTTTGAGGAAGTTCTACTTGAAGCAGACTCTTTATTTATAATCAAATTACTCATGTTATATACAGCTTTCACATTTAAGTAGTTTATTAGTACGTATTTACAAAATTAAATTGGTCAGGCGCCGCATAGCCGCGCGACTAATTTAATTTTGTAAATGCGTACTAATAAACTTTAACCGGCTTAGTGTTTTAAATTATTTTTATAAACAGTCAATTTACTAGACTGATTAATAGTTTGCCGATTTACCAAAGTAAATAATTATGTTACGATTCATTTGAAATATTGCAATCCTATTGGACAAAAAATAATTTCAAACACTAAATGTGGTTGATAAAGGGACTTCACTGAGGGTTTTGGACATGACAGGACCGGAAACAATTTTTTAAGATTAATGCGCAGTCTGATCAGGATCCATGCTGTTCGCTATCAGTTTCTCTTCTTGTTATAAGGTTTGTAAGCGAACAGCATGGATCCTGATCAGACTGCGACGATGCGCAGGCTGGTCTGGATCCATGCTGGTCGCAAACGCATTATGTTGGTTTTGTCATGACGCGGCTCATATAATGAAAGTGACCAACAATTGAAAATGGGCAAACAATAGCATATAATATATGATTTTCAGTATAGTTCAGAGTATATTTTCTTAATTATCTTTTGCATATCTTTCTGTTTTAAGTGCCCCATCTTATCTTAATTATAACGATTTTAAATTTTATATTTGAAGGCCTTTGGACTTTAGTTATGTTCCTTTAATAATTAACAAGGAAATAAATAAATGGGATATTACATAGATCATAGAGAAAGTCAAGAGATGAAAGTTATTGGAAGATATCGTCTTTCGTAGATTTTCTGTGAATCTTATTTTCCTTAAAATGCCTTGTTCAACTATTATTTTGTTTAATTTTTTTAGAACTGCTCATTATGTAGAGGTGGTAACAAGTAAGTTTGGAGTTAGAGCACCGGCACTCACACCAGAACAAGTTGATATGTCTTCCACAAGATGGTCTTCCAATATAGTAAGAACTTACATCATTCTTGTACCATTTGATATAATACTTTAATTAAATCAGAAAATATACATGGACAGATTTCGTTTTATCATGTTTATTGTAGTTTAGATTATACAAAAATGTTCTTAGAAATCTGATTCCTAGTTTTCTTGTGTCACTATCACCATGGTTACATATAACTAAAACCATTGTTGTTACAAAGATTGTTGCGTTGTAGTAGGTTATAGTAAGACCAGTTTGCCATTAATTGTATTTATGCTTGTCTGTTTGAAGAACTATGGGGCAGTTCCACTGACAGTTTTGTCAATATTATAACAAATGTTTCAGGATTTGCATGTAAAGTTTCTTATTAACCACTAAAACTGTATCAATGTATCCATTGTAGATTTCATTCACCTGATATATTAAGGATATTCAAGTTTTTTCTGTAGATACAGGATCTATTTTTTTTTTCTGAGTGGTATGAAAATAAATGTTTCAGCCACAAGTTACATACGATTATTTTTATACCACATGATAATTTTTATACAACAAGATGAAAGTAAATCCTGTATATATAGAAAAAAAACTTTAATTTTCTGTTAATAATTTAAATTTTTGTTCTCTTTAACATTATGATTTGAAAGACTTTCCTTTAAATTTTGTGTACTGGCTGAATTGAAAAGAAAAATAAAATAAATTTTTACAGTGAAATTACGTAGAAAGAAAATAAGCATTTTACTTCCTTAATATTTCTCAATATTTCATTTATATGTATATAATAAAGCATTTTATTAAGCATGAATAAAATGTAAAGGTTGAAAGTACAGACATTATTTGATTTACATGAGAGATATTGAAAAGTACAATTTAAGTCTTGCCCTATTTGTGGCTAGCAGAAGCAGATATTGTATAGATCAATGCATTCAAAGTACAGGAAAAATGAATTATTAAATTTAGCCACACTGAGATGTTATTTGTTGCAAAGTTTGCATAACCATGGCGTAAAGACATTGGAAACATACTTGAATTTACAGTGCAACCTTTACAGTGAATCACTCCTTGGGAGACAACAATTCTGACTGTTGCTAAGAGTTGTTGCTTTAGACAGGTTAACTTTATTATAAAGTCTTACTTCTTTAAAAATTGATATGGTTGTTGTAAAGAGGTGATGTTCTGAAGGTGGCCACTACACAGAAGTTGCACTGTAGATTATTGTTTTTTTTTCTTCATCTTGTGGAATAATTTATATTTACCTGCTTTGTATAACATAGGGAAAAAAACAGGATCTCTAAAGAAAAAAGCCCAACACAGCAAGATTTGAAAATGTTTCAAGGTCGGAAGGATTGAGTCTGTTCCAGACCCAATGTCTATCAAAATTGCTTAATATTCTAATTAAGTGCTTAATATTCTAATTAAGTGCTCAATATTCTAATTAAGTGCTTAATATTCTAATTAAGTGCTTAATATATTAAATAAGTGCTTAATATTCTTATTAAGTGCCTAATATTTAATTAAGTGCCTAATATTCTAATAAAGTGCTTTTTATTCTAAGTAAGTGCTTAATATTCTAATTAAGTGCTTAATATTCTAATTGATTGTCAATATTCTAATTATTTGCTTGTTTATTTCAGGGGAAAGCAATAGGAGTCTCAATAGGCTGTATATTAGGAATGTTCCCATTATTGTTCTATAAACCAAAACCCAAACCTAAAGAAACAAACATAGCGGAGGAAGCACCATCTTGATGAATTATAGGGATCACATACACGTTATAATACTATAAATAGTAATAAATACCAGTAGAAGACCCTGTGATTTAATATGCAACATATCCCTGTAGCAGCCTAGCAGGTGTTTATAGTGTTGACCAATTAGAGGATGTTAGCCGGCCGGAGTTGATGTTGAATACTGTATACAGTAGTTGTTTATAATTTTGTCCATTTGCTTTCTGTAGGGTTCATTGGGATTGTATAGGTGTGGTTTAGAACAAATTTGTTTTAATACAGACTTATGTCATAATTGTTATCATTTAAGTATAATACTTCTGTTGTTATTGTTAGACAGATGGTTTTAATATTTTTCAAATAATGTGTTCAAAATGTTTTTTGCAACCATTATTCTGTTAGTCTATATTTTATTGATACTTGCAGGTCATTTTTCTATAAACGCATTGAAATGTTCTAATTTCAAAAGGCATATATTATTCTCTGAAAGTTCAGCTTAGAGCAGAATTAAACTTAAGTATGCAGATACAGAATTTACTTGTTCCAAAATTCTACACCATTACTAAAAGAGTAAGACAAATTGATGCTTATTTGCACAAGTTATTTGTAATAACCATGTTTTATGCCAGATTTAATCTCTAAATTTGTATATTAGACACTGTTTTTGCTCTTAAAAACAATTTTGAAATTTTTCTTTAAAATTAACATTCATCTTTGAGGCTAAATGCTTGAAAAGTTTTATTATTTTTGATCAAAGTGTGTTTTAACAAAACAATGGGCCTTAGAATGAAAATTGGATGATTTTTCAGCCTAGTCTCAATGCAATGGCTATATTCAAAGGAATGGGATGGGTATTAGAAAGTCGCATACTACCTTACAAATGAACCATGGTGTTTTCTAAAGCTTTAATCCACTTGTTAAATATGACAATCAGTCAAGATGAAATTTCAACTGCGGGTCACAAATTATTTCAGATTATGTGCTGGTTAGTTTAATGATGTACACAAGCATGATGTTTTATGATATATGATATGTGTGAGAAATAAACTGTGTCATTAATAGCTTGATTTAAACCAACCTCCTCCCATTTCCCATCTAAAGTCTTCAAGCTACACCTTCTGGCATTTTTGTAGTAACTATTAATTAGGATTCAGCTTTTTAACCTTAACCTCTGTGTTCTCAATTATTACTTCATTTTTCTTTTTTCTAATTAATATTTTTTTTTTTTTGTAAATTGTTATTTATGATTTAAAGTGAATAGGTGTTTATAGGAGATGTTTTACAGATTTTACACTAGCTGCCTTGTTATGTATTAAGTGTTTATAAGTGTTCTTAAAACCCTGTTTGTGACACTAATTTGTCTGTCTTAGAGTTACTTAACCATACATTTTGTAATGAAAATTAATTTGTTCTTGAAAATTTTATTTGCCAATAACAGACTATTTTGATGTTATTAAAAGAATTGCTTAAAAACATTTGCTACTGCATTGCACAAGGGTAAATTAACAAGGAAGAAGAAAAATAACTCTTACAATGTAAACATATAAAGATTTGAATGGGTTGTCTCCCTTACTATGGTTGAATTTTAAAAAAGAACATTATGATAAAAACGAACAGTAGATTTTAATGCTTGCCTTCTATTTAATATATAATTCAATACCAGTTTCAATGATTATTCTATAGTGTGTTAGTTTTTAGCTCGACTATACGAAGTATATGGAGAGCTGTCCTACTCGCCCCGGCGTCCACGTCCGCGTCCAGATTTCAGATTAAAGTTTTGGTGCAGTAAAATATTTTTCACTATAACTTTGTCATTTCTTAAAGTATCAACTTCAAACTTCAAATATATGTTCCTTATCATCAACCACATCTTATGTGACAAGGTTCATAACTCTAGCACCAATATTTTCAGATTTATCTCCCCTTGAACTTAGAATTTTCCTTAAAAAATACTATTTTTTACTGTTACTTATTTATTTCTAAAGGGATCAACTTCATACTTCAAATATATGTAACATATCATCATCCACATCTTATGTGGCAAGGTTCATAACTCTAGCACTAATATTGCAAGAATTATCTCCCCATAAACTTAGATTTTTTTACTAGAAAAATGTTATTTTTTACTATAACTTTTTTAGTTTTAAAGGTATCTACCTCAAACTTCAAATACTTATTCCTTATCATCAATTACATTTTATGTGACAATGTTCGTAACTCTTGAAGCAATATTTACAGATTAATCTTTCTTTGAACTTAGGATTTTCTTTAAGAAATATTATAACTTCTTTACTTTTTCAGGTATCTACTTCAAACTTCAAATATATATTTCTTATCATTACACACATGTTGTGTGAAAGGTTCATAACTCTAGCATGACTTTTTCTAGAATTATTCCCCTTGATCTTGGAATTTATGTTAACAAATGATATTTTTTTACTATAACTTAATACATAATTATACATAATTGGTTTTTCTTTCATAGTTTTGTCCTCCTTACTGCATCCAGTATTTTATTAGTCGAGCTTGGCTGTCTCCTGTGACAGCTCTTGTTGCCTTCCTAATTGTATATGTCTGAATAAAAGATGTTTTGGTTTCCAAAAGGATGGTTGATTAACTTTTTTTATTGTGGAAAATCACACCTTTTAGGTAGAGTTTATATTGAAAAGTAGCTGTTAAGGTATAATGTATGTTGTTTTTCATGTGAAAAAGTCCTTTGAGTAAATATTTTCCACAGTTATTTTACTATTTTTTTCAAGCATTCAAATATGTATTTTTTATCCAATTTTTATCCCTACATTCCAATTTTTAAAAGTTTTCAAGAAAAGTTGAATGAAGTGAAAGTATAAAATCACATATAACCATATATATTGTGTACTCATTGTAAACATACCAATGTGCCATATAGCTTGTTTATTTGTGACCATTTGTTAGAACAGAACAGAATAGAACTTATTAATAGTACATGTATTACAAAAATATTTCCCCAGTTTCTTAGCTTTGAGTTCCGTCTATATGTTTCTCATTCACTTAAGGTCTATATTTGTAATTATCTAAGTGTCAAGAATATGTTCATTTTTTATTTATTAGTTTTATCAAAGGAAGAACATGACATATAAAGAAATGTGTTTTACCCATTTTTTAAGATGATTTTATCTTGAAAGTGTCACTCATTTCACTCTGAGAGAGTAGGTTATGATTGGAGAATATCAGCAGCCCTGTAAATGAATAGGATTATAACTAGTTATGATTGTGCAGTGAAAATCAACATCACAAATATGCAGTGTTGAAGTAAAAAGAATAAATGAATTGCTAAAATATAGAGGTTCATTTTCTTTTCGAATCTGTGTATGCCAGAACTTACTTAATGCTAGTAATAATTTACTTTTATCAACTAATAATTGAATATACATGTATACACAATTTAATACATTGTTGTATATAGTTTTGCAGGAAATTTTACCCAATATAAACTGTAAACTTAAAGTGGCTGTCTGTCGTAGTCCAGTGAAAATCAATGCTACAAACATCAGTGTTATAACAGTTTAGTGTCCAGCTTTATTTGCCATCCAATGATTTCATAAACCCTGTATTTCTTAAAAATTCTGTATGTTGATTTTCAAAGAAGAACAAAATTCGATACTATATCAAATCCGTTCATAGTTGTCTTCTATTTTCCTTGTACTTCATAGAAATGCGTTTGTAAAAATAGTCTTGACATAAAGTCTGACACTAAGTATGTTAGTATTTTACAGAAATTTCTAAATATCGCTCCCGTCAAAGTTTGTAATTTCTGTAGAACAGCACTGATGAACACATATACTTATACAATGTAGATGCTTTCTAATGTTTATGGTTATTTCCCTTTATATAATGGACTTTACTCTCTTATTTGTTTTGTTCCATTATAGAATTGATAGTTTCTTTGAATGTTTTTTTTTAATTCATAGTATATTTTAACCTTTTTATATTACTTGTTAAAAATACGTTTTATTGTTTAATGTTTAGAAAGTTGCATAATGGTCAACATACACATGTATCTTTGTGCATATTTTGTAGAAATTTGTCTCTTTTTATATTTCACAAGTAGATATTGTTTATGATTGTATGCAGTAACAAGAAAGGTTTGATAAGGTAACTATATAAATAACTTAAGGAAGAAGGCAACTTTAAACTAAAGTTATCGCACAGTGACTTAAGAATGGTATTGGTTTGTTTTACATAAATATGGATTATTTTTCATCGGGAATTTAGAGATATTTCCAGTTATTTTACATAATGTGTAATGTGAGGGTTATACAAGAACTCTTTTTTTAATCATGATGTCATGTGAGTCATATTTACAAGACACTGTCAAATTTTCCATAAATTTATGATCTTTGTTCAGGCGATACATAATTTGTTATCATGAAACAAATTCTTATTTCTAAATGCATGCTCTCTTTTGCATATATTGTAAAATAAACTTGATGAAATGTACCGAAATTTTATTTTATGCACCAAATGTTTGTAGAGCAAGCAAAGGTTTATCCGAATGTGCATATAAGAACACTATCTAAGAAAACTTAATTTTATACTTGTATATATTTTTGAGCCTGTGCCCGATTTTTTCATTTGTAAAATGTGACTCATTCTTGTCCTTATTTTGTGTAAAGTAGTTTCATCAGTATTTCGCATGACTTGACATAAGTTGATTGTGGTGAAATGCAGTTTTACAAGCTTAAGTCCGATAAATTAATTACGTATTGACTATTGATAAATCTTATCACCAGGGTTGCGTTTCATAGAAAGTCCTTAGTCTAAAATCAGTCTGAAAACCACACTTGAGACAATTTTTCGTTTCAAAGCAAATATTAAGCAAATATCTGAACTTATAATCCTATCATAAGACTCTGTTGAATAGCAATACAGATGATCATAAGCATATTGCATGTTGTAGAGTGTGCTATTGTATCTATTCTTTTTTCTTAGGCAAAGTCTAATGTCTTTAACATGAGATAATTTTGTTTATTGAAATGGTCCAAAGATTATCTTAAAGATGGTCCTATATCCTAGGACTTTGGACTTACTTAGGACTTTCTATGAAACGCAGTCCAGAGTTTAATTTGTGTCTGTACCTCAAAAATGCTGTCTTAATAATGTTTATTTTTCAATTGCAATCTTTTTTGCACAGTTTTAAAATTAAAACCGGTGATATCATGGACTCTTTCCCTCATTCTTTCTGATACATTTCTTGTGCATCTGATTTCACAGCTTTAGAGAATATATTTACCATACATGCCATAATGTTTAGACTCATTTCCGGGACACTTTTCATTTAGAGGTGGGGCATTGATCAGCAAACGTATTTTTAGTGGCATACAACCTATATTACCGATAATTTACTGTGATTATTATTATTATGGTAAATGTGTAAAATTTTGTTTTCGTCAAGACTCCAGTGTTAGTGTTTTCTAAATTGTTTAGTCTCTCAAACAAATTTTGTTGTTGATTTGCCTGCATATTTTTGACATTTTTGAACAAACTATCTATTGTTTTATTCTACTTTATGCAGCTTTCTTGGTATGTTTTAATCATGTTTTATGAAGAATTTAAATGATAATAATAGCAAGTATTTGTCTTATAACATTTGTAATATGTAGAAACAGCAAATAAATTCATGTACAAGTATATTATGACAGGAAATACTCGATACTATCGTTTATGAGG